CAGACCACCCTACCATCCGCCTCCCATACTTTCCGTCCCTCCCTCAACAGTTTCTTCTGAGTTGCCCCCCTTGCCCCCTTGTCCTGTCCCCCTTGTCTGGTCTCTCCTCATATGCCAGCCCCCTCTCCGCCCCATTCCTCGTCTTCTTCATACTTCTTTTATCTTGCACATCTGATTTCCTGCTCAGAGTTCCTCCATTTTCTCCATTCACTGTTCCTTCATACTCTAAGGGACGGTAAAGAGGGGAATTTCAACTCAAGATCATCACTATAAGTGCTCCCGCTCCAGCTGCTGCTGCTCCTCCTCCTCCTCCTCCTCCTCCTCCTCCTCTTGCACCTTTACTTGCACCTGCACCTGCACCTGCACCTGCACCTGCACCTTCTCCTCCTTCTCCTCCAGCTCCTCTCCTGCTTCTTCACATTCTAGACCTTTCCATCCCTTCAAATCAGCAACTCGTTGTCTTCCCTGCTCTTCCTCGTCCCTCTTGCCATCTTCTCTTCCTCTTGCAGTTTTGCTCCTCACCTTATCCGCAAATCCAGGAGAGGACATTCGAGTTACGAGAGTTTCGACCTCCTGCAGTTAACGGCATCACCTCAACAACGATTGCATGCTCCTCTTCTGCCTGCTCCTCCTCGCATTCCCATACGACAATCCTTCTCTTCCTCCTCCGCCTCCTCCATGACGACCTCTTCCTCCTTTCATGCTTTCCATTCTCCTCCTCATCCTCCTGCTCCTGCTCCTCCTGCTCCTCTTGCTCCAACCTCTCATTTCGCTCCATGTTCATCGTTTCCTTTTCTTTCCCTCATAATCTTTCTTGCCTTCTCCTGTCTCGCTCTTTACTTCGCCCTCCATCTCTGCTCGCCCTTGGCTTTCCTCCTCCTGTTCTTCTCTTCTTACCTTCTCAAGAGTTGTCTGCTGCTTGCTCAGCCTTGCAAGCTCCTTGTTGAGATCAACGAGTCCAGACTAGCCGTGTGTTACAACAAGCGGGAAACAAGATCAGGGAAGAGGAAGGGAGGAGAGAAATGGGGAGGGAAGAGAAAAACACAGATGTGGGAAGGGGAGTGCCTTGGGCAGCAAGCAAGGAAGGAAGGGAAGGGGGGGGGTGGGGGGAGGTAGCTGCAGAGGTAGAGATGGAGATGCGGGAGGAGGAGGTGGAGAAGGAAGAGGGGAGGAGGGAGGACATTGAAATCACCAGGGGGAGGAATGCTTCGAGACCATCCTGCACAACAACGTGGACGGGGCTCAGTCCTTTCTTGTTCTCCTCCTCCAGCATTTTCTTCATCTCCTCCACCGTCTCCACCCTCATCGACTCCTCGTCGGCCTTGACCAGGGTGGCGATGACAGACTTTTCCTGTGGAAGCGTCAACATGGTGAAGAGAGCTCAACATTTCGTAGAGTGACAAAGAGTAGTTGTGATCTGTCCTGGGGGGGAAAGGGGATTGAGTATGTGCTGTTGTTTGTGAGAGCTCGTTGGATTTCCTTCTGAAAAGTTTGTGAAACCCGTGAGAGCGTTTTCGTTCTTTGATTGTGAACTTAGTGAGAACTGGTGTTTTGGAGATGTTCTTGTGAAGTTGGTGAGGAATTCGTAAAGTTTGCGCCAAAATTGATGAAATCACTTGCAAGTTCTTGCAACCACTTCATCCTTTTCACCTTGCTCATCGCTTCCTTCATCTGACCGTCTGCGGTAATGAGAACCTGAATCCTTTTACCGGGCTCGACCTGAGGAGAAGCAAGAGGACGCGGAGATGGGAACGAGAGGAGGGGGATGGTAAGAAAAAGACAGGGAAAGAAGACGAGGACAAGGAAGACAAGGAAGACGAGGAGGACAAAGGAAGACGAGGAAGACAAGGAAGACGAGAAGGAGGAGGAGGAGGAGATGTAGGAGGAGGAGGAGGAGGAGGAGGAGGAGGAGGAGGAGGAGGAGGCACAGTGAGAGTAAGACAAGAGGAAGCAATGAGGAATTCAAACAGGAAAACACAAAATCATCATCAGAGCATAAAAGGAAAAAGAGACAGCACACAAGGAAGAAAGATTCGTGTCAGTTTGAACAGCAAACAGCAATCAGGCAGAGGTTGCCTTATACTCCTGACGAGCATTGCGGATTGAGCGAACTAGTGCCTGTAGCGCTCGGTACTTGTAGATCGCGTTGTTGTCGATGTACAACTCGTTGTTTTCATCCTACAGGCATACGAATGAGGAGATGGGGAGGAAAGAAAGTTGAAGGTTCTTATTCCACCGCCTATCTCTTACACTCCTCCCCTCCTCCTCCGTCTTCTCCCATCTCCTCCCCTATGTCCTGCTCTGCTCTACCCTGCTGTGTGCCCTTCCGTACGCTTCATCCCTTCCCTTCCCTCTCCTCCGCTTGCATTCTCCTGCTCTCTCTTCCCCTCCCTTCCTTTCCCTCTGTTCTCCCTCTCCTCCCCTCCTTCCTACCTTGGGCCAAGGAGCAGTCATCAGCGACAAGCCTTCATGCGGGGTTCTTTGCCAGATCGCCTCGGTCACGTAGGGCATGAAGGGATGGAGGAGGCGGAGATTGCTGAGTCAGCAAGAGCAGGAGCAGGAGCAGGAGCAGGAGCAGGAGCAGGAGCAGGAGCAGGAGCAGGAGCAGGAGCAGGAGCAGGAGCAGGAGCAGGAGCAGGAGCAGGAGCAGGAGCAGGAGCAGGAGCAGGAGCAGGTTGAAAGAAAGAAAGCAACGACGATCAAGGTGAAGGAAAAGAGAACGAGTCAGTCTGAGGCCTTTCCAGCACACAACAAGATCTATTCACATGTCCAACACGTAGAGAAGAACCTTTCTTGCTTCCATCGCAGCCTTCTGGATCTCTGGCGCATCTGATTTCTGAGCTGCAAAGATGCGAACCTGGTTGATGGCAAGTGACACGGAGAAGAGAGGGGTGAGAAAGAAGATGATACTACATCAGGACAAGCAAGATCAGATAAGAGTCTATTTCGCAACATGACAACACAAACATATCATGGTAATGACTATCATCATCAACAACAATGTTGTCGTCGTCGCAATTATCAGCATACCTTCGAAGACTCCAAGAACCAATCAGCAAACTCATCCCACAAGAAAGTTTGAATCTGATCGCCAGCCTGCATCATGGTCACATCGCCTTCCTGTAGGATCATGATCTCGTCCTATTCTGTTCATACTCCTTCACCTCAGCCTCTATCTCGTCCTTCTCGTTCTCCTCCTCGTCCTCCTCGTCCTCCTCGTCCTCTTTCCCTCCTTCCCTTCCTCCTCACCTGTCCAAGGACGTACTCGTCGAGCTGCTTGGAAACATCGTTGACAAGCTGGTGGCAAAGGGAACAATGTATTGCTCGGGAAGCGCAAGGCGGCTAATCTCTTCCTGCCATGGCAGAAAAGTCAGCCATTGATGATGGAGGATAGGAGCAAGAAACCGAGCAAGGTGAGGAAGCATTCGACGGGGGGGGAGGCGGAGAGAGAACAGAAGGAGGGAAGGAGAGGCAAGAAGGAGATAGAGGGTAGAAAGAAGCAGCAACAGCAAGGATCGACAAAACAGTCGCAAAGATGTAGAGGAAGAGGAAGAGGACGAGGAAGAGGAAGAGGAAGAGGAAGAGGAAGAGGAAACAAGAACAGGAGCAGGAGCAGGAGCAGCAGCAGGAGCAGGAGCCGGAGCAGCAGCAGGAGCAGGAGCAGGAGCAGGAGCAGGAGCAGCAGGAGCAGGAGCAGGAGCAGGAGCAGGAGCAGCAGGAGCAGGAGCAGCAGGAGCAGGAGCAGGAGGTATATCACAGACCTGTGTCATTGGTTTGGTCACAGCCATGCTCTGCCTTTCTTCCTCCGAGATATCCTTAAGATTTCCCATGATAAATCTGGACAAGGGGAGAAAGTTCAGAGACGCTGAACAACAACAACAACAACAACATCGTCATCATCATCATCGTCATCGTCATCGTCGTCATCATCATCATCATCATCATCATCATCATCATCATCAACAACAGCCACAAAAACAACATAATCATATTTCATTATTTGCATCAGCATCAGCATCAGCATCAACGGCATTTTTTTATGATCATCACCACCACCACCAGCATCTCACCGTGCACAATTCCATAATTTGTTTGCAAAGTTTCTGTTACTCTCGATCCTCTTGGGATCCAACGGGATGTCAAGACCAGGTGTAACTCCAGTCACCTTTGATGGCATGAGAAGAAACAGATCAAGCATTGCAATGCAAGCGATGGCGATGAGGGAATAGAGGAAGAAGAGGAGGAGGAGGAAGAGGAAGAAGAGGATAAGGAGATGGCCATTGGGGTGATAACGCTGCTGAGTCTTATCCAACCCACCCTCTTATCCACTCCTCTGCTCCTGCTCCTGCTCCTGCTGCTCCCGCTCCCGCTCCCTCCCGCTCCCTCCTGCCCCTGCCCCTCCCCCTGCCCCTCCCCCTGCTTCTGCTCCTCCAACCCCCCTTCCCCCTGCTTCTGCCCCTGCCCCTGCCCCTGCCCCTGCCCCTCCCCGTCCTCATCTCCTACCAGCGTATATCTCAGCGCGTCTGTCCCGTACTGCCCGATGACGTCCAGAGGGTCGATCACGTTCCCCGTCGTCTTTGACATTTTTTTCCCTGCGCGTCTCGCACCAGCCCGTGCATGTAGACGGTGTCAAACGGCAGCTGGTCAGTCAGCTCGGCCCCGAGCATGACCATGCGGGCGACCCAGAAGAAGAGGATGTCGTAGCCGGTCTCGAGGCATGACTCGCCCCTGTGAGCAAGTGAGAGAGGGGAGGGGAGGAGAGGAGACGGGAGAAGATAAGAGGGAAGGGGAGGGAAGGGGAGGAGATGGGAAGGAGGAGAGGAGGGGAGAGGAGAGAGGGAGGGGAGGGTTGATGGGAGGAGGAG